CAAATGGCCTGTTTCCAAACTTTGGGACTCAGTAAACTTCTAAGAAGGGTATTTTATTTAAACTAGTACCTTGAATGAACATGTTGCTTTATGAAGAAAGATTGGAGAGGCTATGTTTGTATCTGCTGCAGTTTAGAACAGTAAGATTTGACTTCTTTGAAACCTGTTAAGATCCCCTGGGGCGTTTTTACAGGGTGTATATGTAAAGGATCTTTCCTCTTGTAGGAGAATCTAGAGCTTGGGATCACTGCTTTAAAAATAAAGGTTCACCCATTTAAGACGGATAAAAATTATTTTTTCCTCAGAGGCCTGTGGGTCTTTGAAACGCTCTTCCTCAAAATGCAGTGGAAGCAGAGTCTTCACATATTTTTAACTTTTTCTTCTAGGCTGTTCCTGTATGCCTAAAGCCCTGCAAATTACTTCATAAAAATCAAGGGCTTGGATGGTTCCAAGTTACTCAAGAAAAGTTAGACTATTAAATGCCCAGTCCAACACTAATAGTAACTATTAAACTGACCCCAGTTGCCTCTCTCACCCCCAACTACACTAACTGTAGACCACTTGGTCATCTCAGACCCTGACCTGACACCCAGTGCCCCCTCTCCCGTGGCTAGAGAGGGGATGGTATCGTGCTTGTTAGGAGTGAACTAAGGAAACCTGTGAGGAATACAAAGGCAAATTTACAATGAATGTATGTAAAACACAGTGTGGTGGATCAGGTTTGGGGGTGAGCTACAAGGATAAATAACCATGTTGGAAGGTGATGTAGTACTAGTAATGGAAACATAACTTATTGTCAGTCCTATTTTTAATATTCAAAGATATAAAAGTTTCCAAAAAGCTAGGGAAACAAAAATGGGAGTTGGAGTAGTAAACTGATTAGGGAAGACATTGTGTTGAGCAAAGTGAATATTCTTGAGGGGGCAAAGACATTTCATTTTAGAGTTCAGAAAGAGGGTATGATCACACTATTGGGATATTCTGTGAATTTCAAATATTGAGAGGGAGATAAAGGGGGAACTCTGCTGGGAAATTGGATATGTGAAAGACCTTGAATGTTGTTGTTACCAGAATATTTATTGGCTTAGCTTTAGAATAAAGTACAAGGAAGTTGCAGAGTTTATGAAATATGTTTAGTTTTTTTATTTTGATGATAAAGGAAACATTGCTGCATTTGGTACTTAGTATAAAGTGGACCAGGTGTGTGTGTTGGAGTCAGCTGGGGGCGAAATCTCTTGTGTAATCATTGTATCATAAGGTTTAGGCTAGAATTGTGAAGTGCAAGGAATAATCAAAGTCGGAGGTATCAGAAGGACTGAGTACACTTAAAAGCCTAAGTTAGGAGAGGGCTAATTTCAATGGAATGAGGATGTTAAAATAGAACCAAACTAAAAACGGAAACCATTGGAAATATTTCTATTGTTTTCTGTTTTCACTTCACTTTTTTTCACATTTCCAGCATCCATATTGTTCTGCCTTTAAAATAAAAGCAAAGTCTGATAAGAAAACCTGTAACAGAGTAAGGTGCGATATTCTGAAGGATACACTTAGGTGCAGACTGGGTACATTCCAACTAGGGCAAGAGGGAGGAGAACAAAGCCAGGGCATCTTGGATGATGAAGAAGGTGGATATAATGCATCAAAAATAGTGTGCAATGCATGTCAGATGAATTTTCAAGCAAGAATCCGGTCATACATAATTTGAGAACAGAAGTGAAAAGGAAAATAAAATGAGAATGTTAGACAAGATTGATGGTCAACATAAAACCTAGCATATAAATAGTAAGTAGCTACTAAAAGATGGCGTGGAACCCACTGTGGTGGACAAAGAATGATATATGTGGAGATACCCAAGGCAAGGGTAGAACGTTTTGAGGAGTATTTTGTAATAGTGCTTACTAAGGAAGAGGAATCTGGCAAAATTGCATTATCTGCAGAGATAATGGAGGCAATAGATGGAAAGAAAATGGAGACTGCTGGGAGGCATTGGAAAGTCCGACTATGCTTAAGTTGCGTAATTGCAGGGCGCGTGGTTTGGGTGGCTTGAATCTCTGATTGCTAAAGGAAGTGTGGGTGTAAATGGAAAGGCTTACTATAATCTTCCAATCTTCTGTAGGTATTAGATAAGGCTTTGGAATCAGTGGAGGGTGGACATCAAGTGCACTTGGGTGAGAATTGAGTTAATTAAAGGTAGTCAGCCTGCATTTGTAAAAACCACATAGTGCTCAACTAACTAAATATTTTTATGAAATAAGAGGAGATTGATGAAGGGAAAGCACTTTATGTTGTGTGTATTTTAAGAAAACATTTGACAAAGTACCATATAAAAGCTTAATTAACAAAATTGTGGTTCACAGAATAGGAATAGTGTCAGCTTGGGCAAAAGAAATTACTTCAGGATAATGAACAGCTGTTAAGTTTTTTGTTTTTTTTTCTTCCTACTAGAGGACATGGGCACTGTTGTTCCCCACGAGTTGGTGCTAAGGCCAGAGCATCTTGGAATAGAAAGTAAAATTTGCTGATGCTATCAACCTTGGAGGAGTGGTGAACAATGAAGTTGCAGTCCGTTGGTATCAACAAGTCATAGATTAGCAGAATGAGCAAGCGAACAGCAGATGGAATTAAATTCTGAGGATTGTAACATGATACATTTTGGTAGAAGCCAGTATGGAGACCAATGTTCCTTCTAGGCTGCACAGCTTCTTGACAGGTCTGCACATATTAATTGGAATGTGGGTGCATTGACTTCCAATTCTGGAAGTGGACTTTGGAGGTGTGTATAGCAGCAGGATAAATGAAAGGGAATTTAATGAACAGATCATAAAGACTTAATGACTGTTGTAAAGAGTATGCAAGAGCAGAGGAACTTGAGGTTCGTGAAAATTGATATTTGAGAGTCATACAACCTATTCAGAGTAGTTAGAACATAGACGGAATCTTGGACTTCATAAGTAGAGGTATTGAGTACAAAACTAGCAAAGTTATGCTGACCCCTTAAGATTCTATTCAGGCTGCAATTCAAATATTTCACCTAGTTCTGGTCACCATACTTTATTAAAAATGCTTAGTGGAAGCTCAACTCCCCTAGATTTTGGGGTGGCACAGTGGCTCAGTGGTTGGCACAGCTGCCTCACAGCGCCAGGGACCCAGGTTCAATTCCACCCTCCAGCAACTGTCCTGTGCACATTCTCCCCGTGTCTGTGTGGGTTTCCTCCCACAGTCCAGAGATGTGCAGGCTGGGTAGATTGGCCATGCTAAATTGCCCATAGTGTTCAGGGTGGTGTAGATTAGGTGAGGTATAGGGGGATGGGTCTGGGTGGAATGCTCTGAAGGTCATTGTGGATTTGTTGGGCCAAAGGGCCTGTTTCTATACTATAGGGATTCTATGATCATGAGGGTAGTTGAGAAAGGGCAGAGGAAATTTAGCAGAACGGTTCTGAAGTTGAAGGATTTTAGCTATAAGGTTAATTTGGAGAACTGGGGGTTGTTCACTTTGGTGCAAAGGAGATTGAGTAGAGATTTGTTAGAGGTATATAAGAATCTGACAGGTTTAGATTAGTTGGAAAAGGAAAGAAACCTCACAGTAGCTGATGATGGTACAAGCGCTGCCATGTACACATTTAACGCCTTGGACAAGAGATGCAGAGAGAATAAGAGAGAACTTTTTAAGTAGCAAGTGATAAAGGTGTGGAATTTGCTGCCCATGACATTATTTCAGAAGGAAGCTGGGTGGACACAGGAAATAATTCTATACAGCTATTTTTGTTTGAGTGGGAGAATGGGACTGATGGATTGGTCTGCAAATGAACTTGAGGTTGAATGGCTTCCTGTGATGTTTATGACTGATTCAGCAGCCCTGAGTGCCACTCCCATTCTGATGCAAAACTTAGGTACAAATTAAACTACAACTCTCAGAATACAGTACTAAACTTCTCAAACAAATTTTCAGTCTTGCCCATTGCTTATACAATCTTGCAAGCTACTCGGGCGGTTTTTGTTTTCCTGTCAATCTACCAAGTTTTGAATCTGTATGGTCCATTGATCACACAGCTCTGGGTTCACCTGAAATGTTATTGGTCTTTTACAGATCAGTAGAATTTTTATCTCTTACTGGTACAAAATTACATTTTCTGTGCAGGTTGTGCAACTTTGGTATTCTGTCTCAGAAGGTAATGGGGAGTAGGATCATTGAATATTTTTAAGACAGGTGGATAAATTCTTGTATGGCAGGGGAATCTAGGGCTATCAGGAGTAGATTGGCTTGTACTTTGAATTCCACATGCCAATCAGCCATTCACTTATTGAACAGTGGAACAGGCTCAAGAGGCCAGATAGACAGACTGTGTGTTTTTCCTTTTATTGCATGTTTATATGATACATTCACCATATCCTGCAGCTTCTGTACTACTTCCTATTCAGACTTCAGTAACTTTTTTTTTCTGCTGTGGTCTCCTCCAAATTCTTTGTTTCACTTGATCAGATTTTCCACTACTGCCCATACGTGCCTCCCTGTTCCAGTACAATAATCCTCCATCCCAGGTTTTCTCTCATGTAACTCTGTAACCTTGCAATTTATTGAGCTAGTATTCCGTTTTAGTATGAAAACCAAAACCTTTCCAGAAAGCTGTGGAAAATTGAATTATTGAGAGAAACAGACTTAATGTTTCAATGGCTTCTGAAGGAGTCATATGGGACTTGAAACATTAACGCTGTTCTTTTCTCCACAGCTGCTGTTGAGAGACCTGCTGAACTTCTCCGTATTTGTTTCAATGACCAAAGCTAGTTTCACTCTGTATATTGGTTCTTAAACAAGAAGTGTGATTCTTTTAAATTCCCCATGTACATAAGTTAAGTATTTGTCTTATTGCATTTTAAGGCAGTGTGTTCTGTGTCCTGTTTTGTAAATTGAATAGATCAGGCATTTCTGTGTCAGCAAATTGTGTATTAGTTGAGTTGCTATTTGTTCACCTGTTGAATTGATTTTGCATTACCCATTTCAGATTGGAAGAAAACAAAATGCACACAAGGTCATCATCGCAGGCACTCAGGTAGGTGTCTGTTTCTTATGGTGTTGCAATTGACTACTTTTATATATAGAATTTCATTAGACCTAATACATAATGATTGGCTACCTTTTGTTTAAAGCAGTCGTATTCTTTTTATTTGATATTCTCTGCAATGTAAGAATATATGCATGTGAGACAGCAGAGGGAGCATGTGGTAGACAGCTATGCATCCCACAGACAGTGGATCAGATGAAACATCTGCATTTCTGCTACATTGTCATAAATAGCATGGAACAATTAAACAACTAATGAGGCAGAGAGAGTCCATAAATAGTCCCTTCCTCAATGATGCACAACACCAGCAGATTAGTGCAAAAGTTGAAGCTGAAGCATTTACAGTTGACTTCATCCATTCTTGCCGTTCCTGTAATTAACATTACAGATGCTAGTCTTTGGTCAAATCGCTTCTGTTGACACAATATCAAGTTACTGTTAATAGATGGTGAATAACCAAGGTCTTTTCCCCACGTTAGGGCAGTCCAAAACTAGAGGGCATGGGTTTAAAGTGAAGGTGGAAAGATTTAAAAGGGATTTCAGGGGCAACTTTTTCACGCAGAGAGTGGTGCATGTATAGAATGAGTTGCTAGAAGAGGTGATGGAAGCTGGTAAAATTACAACATTTAAAAGGCACTTGGATGGGTACATGAATAGGAAGGTTTTAAAGAGATATGGGCCAAATGCTGGCAAATGGGACTAGATGAATTTGGGATATCTGGTTAGCATGGACAAGTTGGACTAAAGGATCCGTTTCCATGCTGTAATTCTGACTGTATGTACTAGATACTGCAAAGGTTATGGGGCTTGACAATATGCTGGCTATAGTATCAAAGACTTGTTAACTCAAACTACACACTGGCTAAGCTGTTCAGTATAGTTCCTCCACTGGCATTTGCCCTGCATTTGACCAGGTGTATCCTGTCTGCAAATAGACGGAGAATCCAAAATGACCAGTCACCCCCCCCTCCCCACGCTGCCACCCCCCCCCCCCCCCCGCCCACCGTCAGTCCCATCACAGACATCAGCAAACTGTTAGAAAAAAATCATTGACAGTGCATTCACGCAGTACCTCTTGCTCACTCTTGCACAGTTTAGGTTCTACAAGGTGACTGTGCTTCTGACCTCATTAGCATGCTGGTCTGAACATGGGCAAATAACTAATTTTGTGGTGAGACGAGTGTGTCGGCCCTTGACATCAAGATAGCATTGGCCTGAATCTGGCATTAGGAGGCCAGGCAAAATTTAAGTCAGTGGGACTTTGGGGGAATATCTCTATGGGACTTGGACAGAACATAGGCTCGTTGGGGGGAAGGTATTCTCATTAATGGAAAGATCAACAAACCATATGTTTGTGGTAATTAGAAAAAGAAGCAATGAGGACGAGAGGACAGATATGTTCCCACAGTAAGTGGTTTAGGATCTGAAATGCATTGCCTGAGATTGGTGGAGGCAGGTTCAATTGAGACATCTGAGGGGGAATTGGATTATTATCTGAAAAGAGAGAATATGCAAGACTCGGTGGAAAGTAGGGCAACAAAAATAGTAGGCAAATTACTCCTCCAGAGAGCCACAAACTGTTACAATGGGCCAAATGGCCACCTTGGTGCTGTAACATTTTCTAATTGTGTGGTTGATATCATACCTAGCACAGAAGATGGTAGAGTTTGTTCAAGACCAATCATTTTCAGTTCTAATAGCTGCAAGAGTTCCTCTAGTGTTCTAGGTCCTTTAAACGGCTTCATCAATGATCTATCCAATGATGGATAATACAAATGCAACATATTAAATTACTACTTCCTGTGCTGTATCCATTTCGTAATTCTGTAACATCAGAATGAGGGTTCTGAGGAAGGGTCACCAGACCCAAAACATTTAACTCTGATTTTTTCCTTCACAGATGCTGCCAGACCTACTGAGCTTTTCCAGCAGCTTCTGTTTTTGTTCCTGATTTACAGCATCCACAATTCTTGTTTTTACTCAGAATGAGGGATGTTAGCTGATGATTGCACAGTGTTTATTTCTCTTTAAGCACTTCAGATCCTGAAGGAATTGGTGTCTATATGTGACAAGAGTTAAGACGCCATTCAGGCTTGGGTTGATGGGTTACAAATGACATTAGTGCTACGCAAATGTCAGGTAATGGGCCACATCAAACAAGAGAATCTAACCATCTCCCTTGACATTGAGTGAGATTGAAATGCAAATAAGTTGGGGGTGGTTCAGAGGAAGTTTGCTAGGTAGATGCCTGGAATGAGTGGGTTGTCTTAAGGTAGATTTAACAGCCTGAGCTTGTGTCCACTGAAGATTGGAAGACTGACGGGTGACTTGATTGAAGTGAATGAGACTCTGAAAGGGTCCTGCAAAAGTGCTTGTGGAAAGGATGTTTCCTTGTGTAGGTGAGTTCAGAACCACGGCACTGTTTTTAAAATTAGGGGTCACCTTTTTTAAAAAAACTGAAATAAGGAGCATTTTTCTTGAGGGTGTGAGACTTTGGTACTCGTGGAAAGCTGTGGAAGCAGGGACACAATATTTTCAAGGCTGAGGTAAATACAATTAGTTCTGCTATAACACGTGTTTCATTAACACGAATTAGCTGTAATGCGGTTGATGAATAGTGGACTACATTTGGATAACATGAACTTTCTGCTGTACAGGTAAACTGATTTCCCTATAATGTGTTTTTCTATGGCATGAGGTCACACAAGAATGCAACTATTGCGTTATAAGAGAACTACCTGTAGATAGGTAGATTCTTCTTAGGCAAGGGAACCGAAGAAAATTCAGGGTAGACTGGAATGTGGAATCTGAGACAAATAGTCTTACTGAGTGGCAGGCTTGAGGGGCCAAATGGTCTACATCAGCTCCTATTTTGTATGTTCATGTTAAAACATGGCTGAATCCCTCCCAGTTGGGGAGTTACCATTGACCAGAAATGTAACTTTGGGTCAGCCATATAAAATGCAACAACAGATCATAGGCTGGAATATCTGTGGCAAGTAACTTGCATCCTGACTCCCCAGTAGCCTGTCCACCAGCTATGAAACAGAAGTCAGGCATGTGATGGAATCCTCTAATTTGACTGGATGGATGAAGCTATACCAAATTTGATGCTCAACATGATCCATGACAAAGCAGCCCACTTTATTGGTATCTCAACCATAGACATTCACTGCTTCCAATGACAGTGGTGTGTACCATCAACAAGATGCACTGCAGCAACTTGCCAAGCCTTTTTCCAAAGCACCTTCCAAACTTGTGATCTCTACAACTTTGAAAGATGGGCAATCCATGCACGAAAACACTACCTGCAAGTTTCCCTCTTATTCACACACCATCCTACTTGGAACTAAATCACTGTTTCTTTTTACTATTATTAGGTTTAAATCTCACAACACTCTTCCTTACAGCACAATGGGTATGCCTGCAGCAGATGAACTACAGTGTTTCACGAAGGTGGATCACCATGTTCCAAAGGGCTGTCATTGGTAAAGGTGATTTACCACTTATGCCCTAGAGAAGGTAGAAAGTGCTGGCGACCGATCTTTTGGACCATTACAGTCCATTTGCTGGCAATATACCCATACTGTGGTTATAAAGGGCATTCTAGGACTTTTTCCAGTAACAGTAAAAGAACAGCAATATTGGTCTACATCAGGTTGGTATGTTCAACTGAGACATTCAAGCAAGCATTGGATGATGATATTTATCCAAATAATGTGCAAAGATAAGGAGAAAAAGCAGGAGTTTGGCACAATGCAATGATACTGATTTGAAGAGTGAGCACAGACACGGTGGTCTGAATGGTGGCCTCCTGTGCTGTAAGACTTTCTCCATTTTTGTGTGAGGCCTGGAGGGGAATATGCTGTTGGGTTCCATTCAACAGTTATAATTTTCCATTTAGATCATAAGAATCCATCAGTTTGGAAGGAACAATGGGACTTCCTACAGTGCATGTATTTTAAACAGTTCACGCTGCCATTGTGTGCTCGTGGTGGAGGGAACGAATGTTCAAATTGATGGATGAGGTGATGATTAAGTGGGCTACTTGTCCTAGATGTTGTCAAGTTTCTTCTTTGAGCAATGTTCATCTGGACAAGTGGAGAGTATTCCATTGCACTCCTGACTTCTGCGTTGTAGATGGTGAACAAGCCCTGCTGAGACGGGAAATGAATTACTTGCTGCAGAATTTTCAGTCTCTGCTGTTTTGGCTTCTTTGTTCATATGACTGATCCAGTTAAATGCCTGGTCAAGTTACCCTCGCGATGCTGATGTTAGCAGATTCAATGATGGTGATGCCATTGAACATCAATGGCAAAAATTAACCCTTCTCATTGGCGATTGGTCATTGCCTGGTAACCTCTGCGGCTATCAACCCAAGCCTAAATATTGTTTAGGTCCTGTAGCATGCAGACATGAACTGCTTTAGTATCTGTGAAGTTGCAGATTATAATTGAACATTGTGCTATCATCAGTGATAATCCCCACCTTTCAGCTTGAGTCCGAGTGAAGGTTATTGATGATGCAACTGGCCTTAAGACACTACCCTGAAGAATTCCAAAAATGATGTAGAAATCAGATAATTGGCCTCTATTAACCACGATCATCTTCATTTTGTTCTTGCTATGACTCCAGCCAGTGGTGAATTTTACTCCGATTTGCACTGAATTCAGTTTTACTAGGACTGTTTGCCAAACTTTGTCTGATGTTGCCTTGATGTTGAGGGCAGTCACCGTAATTTTACCTTTGGAATTTAGCTCTTTTACTCTGTTTAGGCCACACTTTAAGCTCCAGGCTTCATTAGTGACCCTATGGAATCAAAACTCTGCCATCAGTGAGCAGGTAATTGCTGAATAAGTATCACATAAAAACGCTATTGATGACACTTTCCAACATTTGGCCGATTATCAAAAGTATGCTGATGTGGCAGTAATTGACCAGCTTGAAGTGTCTGGGGTAACACAGTGTGGAGCTGGAGGAACATAGCA